GTTTGCGATGTTCGGCGGAAGACCCCGGATCGGCGTACCGAGGGTCTTGAACCAACCAACGCCACCGGAAGAGGGCCGGTAGCGGGTGGTAAAGCGTGGTCGGCGGGGACGCGCGCGTAGGCGAGTGGATCGACGCCTCGACGCCCCGGAGCAGTACCGGTTGACGATCCGGTACTGACGGGCGGAGGCGGATCGCAGCTCGCCGCGGTGTCGCGCGCGTCCACTACCCGCTCGGTGGTGACTACTCGCGGAACGGCGGTGTGAGTAGAGTAAGCTGGGTGGTCGACCGTCGGTGGAGTGTTGCCTGTCCTCCTCCTCCCCACCGGCGGTCGCTCCCTATATTTATTGTACAAGTTAATTAACCGTCTACAGTACAGTACGGACTGTACTGTAGTCGGCTTACTGTAGACAGTGCGGGCCGGCCCGCACTGTAACGCTGTCAGCCGTCGGGGCTGACAGCACCCGTGTGCTACACGTGGGGTACACGTGTTGGTGCGCGCTCGCTGTAAGGTAGGCGCGCGCGCACGCTGTAAGGTCCGTACCTTACAGCGTTGAATCTAATTCCAAATCTAATGTATAGTACAGTAGCCGGCGGTTATGCTACAATCTTCAACAGCATAAATTTGTCCTTCATTCTCTGAATCGCTTCCCTGATTTTTCGATTTGCCGACAGAATTAGTGTTACCCGACGAAAGCAATATCTCCTTACTGATCGTCATACCAATCTCCGGTTCAAGTTGCAGGATTTGTCTAGGGGCTTTGAATCCGGCACCTTCTCAACCCCCTTGGATCGGCCGCACGAACCCTCGTCTCTCCATTTTTTGTCGTGTGGGTCTGTTGGTTATTCCTCGCTCTGAAATTATTAAGACGATCACTTAAGTCTCATTAAAACAGAAAACTATGATCCATAAATCAAGTACCAGATTATTTATTGTACTCGACGAAAACATTTCACTAGACTAACTGAAAGTTTTTGTCCACATCGTTTGAACTGAGACCAGTATGGACGTGCTCAAGAGACTTGGCAAAGTCCTCCTTCCCATATATCTGCTCAGATTCTTCGCAAATAGTTTTAGCATGACGTACATACTCCTGGACTGAATTAAAGCGAGGAAGCTCTGGCGGAGCACAGTCGTTTTAGGCAGCGCAATAGTTGGCATACGCTTGATATCCACTCATCTGAATTCTTTCCATAATTGCTTCATCGCGAAGCCCTAGAGCTCGATACAGCTGCACTGAACCTCTTTGATTGAATGTCCGGAGTACATACCCAGATCACTCGATCCGACACCAATTGATGACAAGCGACCTCGGAAGAACTCGGTGAATTTCTTAGAACTCCACGGTGCTTTGGTGTCAATGACCCAACCACTTCTTGTCTCATTCACATCACAAAATAAAGGCCCTGGGCTACTTCCACGAAGTGTCAGTCACGAGTACAATGCTAAGAATGGATCCATAAAGTATGAGAACCGCAAGGCAGAGTTCCCGAACCAATCGCAAAGCTGGTACGTTCTATGCACAGTTGAACTCTTAATTGATTCAAGCAACGTCAACGTGCAGCCACCGGACCCAACGGAGACGTTTTCGACTTTCAACTTCTTAATTTCATCATATGTGAGTCCGAAATTCCACCCGACAACGAGGATGGCATGTAGGAGCACGTCAGGTGCTGCGGTTACCTTTTCTCTCCCGTACCAAAACTTTTCGGCCAAATCACATATATTGGCTGCTGTGATTGGCCGGGACCGTAACGTAACGAATCCTATATGAGCCAAATGAACGGGATGGGCCTTTCGCAGCGCCTGCAAATCAGGGTTTCCAATCAGCGGGTTGCCGCTTGCCTTACCAGCAGACTCGTCAACCTGCCACGTTTTGGTGTGGCCGTGTTCGCAATAGACATGTCGAAGTCCCTGCGCCAGAGCTCCCATGCTGTCATTCTAAAGAGCATCAGCAGTTCCAAACTTACAGTAATCTGCAAGAAGATTGAGAATGAGTTTTGAGCTCTCTGGGGTGACGCGATGTGGATCTGGGGAACCTTTCAGAGCACAGTACTCTTTCAGAACTGGTCTTGCTAACTTCACATTCGCTTTCGTTGATGCGCTCGTGGCAGTAGATACCAGATCGTAGGATTCGCGCAGGGGACCGTCTGTAAAAGCATTCACACCCCCCTTTTTCTTCCCCCTCCCCTTCCTTACTTGAGTTGACATTTTTGAAAATTGAAATCCCCCTAAACCTCCTGTTAAGGGATTGTCTTTCAGTAATCCAGCAGGAAAATGATTGTTGAAGCCAGTTTTGAAGAAATATGTGAAAGGACACTTTGAAAAGAGTACGGCTAAATATGCGATTTGATTGCGAAATTGTAGAAATGAAAGCCTAGATCATTCAAAACACATATTTAATTGTTTAGAAACTTTTGATAATGACGATCACACGTATTCCCAAAGAGCATTGGTTGTTGCCTTTTTCAGAATACAGTACTGTGGCTCTAGTGCCCTGACTGGCTTGCAGTCATCGAGAATCCGTGCTGTAAATTTCTGAGAAATAAAGCCCACCCACGTCGGTGACGCGTATGACATGGAAGCTTTCCTAACAAGTACTTCGTAGATATGCTTTGAAAGGTAGAGGGGTATGTCAATGTATACATTCTCCTAACTGAATAACTTTCGTTTAGTTACGGTAGTCCTCTACACTCGGATACTTCGCTAAGTTATATTCTACGCATTTAAATGGAAGTGAGTAGAACGCAATCACATGCATTTATCCTTAATTATAGTTTACTTAAGAGATTCAATACGGAAACACAGTTTCGCCATTTCGGAAGTACTGGACATCGTAGGAAGTACTCATTTAGACTTTTACATTGGATATGGTGAAGCTTTTCGTTTAGGGAATGCGGTTTTTGTGGAATCTAGTGTTGGAAACTGAGAATCTCTAAGTTGAAATGCTCTTTCCAAAATCTTTTTTGCGTGTGGTTAAAACATTGCTAACATTGAGAAAATGGGGTGTATGACTTCCTGTTGTCTTGTTAGGTTCTTATCTTAAAGAGTATATAAGGGTTGACAACTCAGACATATCCAAAGGTTTATTACAAATGGAAGTTTTCTTAAAGTGCTCTAAAAAGTCTCAGGAAGCTGCCGTAGTTGTTGCTAGAAACTTGTCTTACAAAAGAGGGAAATAGAGCATTCTCTTCAGGAACATACACCCTATCTAAACTTTTAGCAGGCCTTGTTAGTTCTGTTTTGCACCATTCTCACCCAAAACTTGCAACTCTTTACGGATATCATTACCCTGGAGTAGATATACCTCTTCAAATCAGGAAACGCAAACTTTCAGATCCAAGGCGCGGTGAGCCAATACAACTACTTTGGATTATAAAACTTGAACTCTCTCTTGAATGATCGTTTTAAAGGTTATGTATCGCTTTGTAGAATAGTGAGGTACACAAAGTCTCCAAGCCATTACAAATTTCATTATCGTTAAAAAAGTACCTTTTTCTGCATTGAAAAACTTAAGATGTGTACCTTCTGAACCGTACTACCGCATACTACCCAAAATACCGAGCTTTGACGAATAAAACCGAAGTGTGCACCGCTTTCGTGAGCAGAATTTTATCTGGTTGATATGAATCAATGACCTCAAATCTTGTTGCAGTCATTTCAGTCCGGAGACTGTGAATCAGCTTTTTTCGATGAATAATTCATGCTTCTATGGCTACTGACGATTGAACTTTTCGAAAGTCCTGTTTTCATACGAATAAATTTGGATTTGGATCTATTTCGTTTCGTAACCTGGCTGTAATAGAGATAAAATTGTATCAAGTTCATGGAAGCAATATAAGCTTTCAGGTTTTTTAGGTTACGCTGCTGGGAAATTACAGGCTTTTCATTCATAAATGGCGAAAATGTGATTTTAATACGAATACAAAAAAGGCCTGGAAGAAGTTTAGGTGTTAAATGCACATGAGAATCGCTTTTTATCACCACTGTTAATGTGACGAAGTTTTATTCGTCATTGCAAATACTGATTTTGAAAAATTCCAGAGCAGAATTTCTGGGTTGAGTATGACTCTTTTGTGCCGAAATATGCTCAAAAGTAGGCATTTGAAAATGCAGTTATGACTATGAAAGTGCAGTTCACAATTAGAATGATTGCGTTTAATTTTCCGGTTGTTCCGGTATGTTATTCTTTAATAAAAATGAAGCTTTAACTTTGGTTTGGGAGAAACTTTAACCTCGTACTGCGGCAGTTCGCATGAACCTAATTTGTTCTACTGTACTCTTCTCTTGTAAATTAATACAGTACTTAAATTGGTACTCGGAAGTCTAGAGTACATAATTTGGTACTCGGAAGATCCGAAAGTGATCCCTTTTTACTGCTGCATGGAACTGCAGAAAATTGGATCAGTTATTTCTAGGGTTTTCGCATTTCGTGTCACTACTTTCAAAATACGTTTGACCGATGGTTGTTCTGACGATATCGGTGAGTGAAGTTTCGGCTCTTCCTGGACGCTCTGGAGCTCTACGTGACCTGACACGTGACCATGTAAGGATGGGCATCACGCGGTTCACAAATGATTCGGCAGTACACAACGTTTACTAGGAAAAATGGCACACATAAAATTTTCGCACTAGACCTCATCATTTTCCGCGGTTCACATCGCTGGTAATGACCTACGCCGCGCGATGCCTGCGCGCCTACTCTTGGACACGGGTGCACGCTGTACACGTGGACAAGAGGACGGCGTGGCTGGGCAGTGCATTCTCTTGCCGTCGGCGCGCAGGAGGCGAACCGGAAGAGCCAGTCATCCGCTTCTCTGCCCTCCCTTCCCTTCCCCCGCGGCTGCGCTGGCAGCCATTATCCGCTCTGTGCGTGTGTTAGGCCCATTAGGGGCCAAACACTTAGAATATTCCGACCTCGGTACCACAATAGTTCAAGATATTCAATTTACTTCTCCTGAATAAAATGATGTGTCACGAGGCAACCACAGCGCAGGGGTCATGATTACACGGGAATTCGTTCAACAATTGGGGGTGCTCTTTAGTTTTTTCGTGCACTGTAGCACTATATCGCGACCCCCCCGTATCCACCTCAAGCTGTGTGCTCGTGTCGCCAACTCTTATTCTCATGTCTAGCAGCTAGGGCATCGATCCCATCGACACGTTTCACGGCAACCCCAATCGCCGCAACCTCTCAAGCGGATATAAGCAATGATATAAAAACTGGTCTGCACATTCCAGTATCAAGTGTGCCACCTAACTGTACATCCATCTGCGCGTCTCGTTACCCAACTTGTTCTCCACCCCCCCAACCCCCAAAATCCTCATCCGGCATATTACTTGTACACCTGCAAAAAGGCACTCGTGTATCAATCGTTCCACATAACTCTGCACATCCATCTGCGCGTCTCATTCCCGAACTTGCTCTCCCCCCAAAACCCTCAACCGGCATATTATTAGTACACAACCTCCCCACCCTCTCACCGCATCGGGTGCGTCGGGAACAAGTTTTCCTCGCTCACCTGCCACGGGCCGCCACTCCCAGGCGAGTAGATGTCCTCCAAGCACTGACTCAACATGCACGCCAAGTCGTAGCACTCGGGGTTGTACCCTCTGACATCCCTCGAATAGAACGCCATCACCGAGTGCACGTGCCCGCCAAATTGGATGGGCACCGCCAGACAAGTCTTCATGCCAAATTGCTTCGCCAGCGGCGACCTCAGAAAAATCTCCTTCTCCCCCAGGTCGATGAGCCACTCTGCCCTTCGGCTCGTCCACACGCGTCCAGGCATGCCGATCCTGGGCTTGAACTCAAACACACTGCTCGCCTTCGCGAACCGCGCCAGCTCCTCGTCCTCCTCGCGCTCCTCCACCGACCCGACTAGCATCCCGCCGCCCAAGCGCTGAATCAGCGTCCACCCCAGCCGCATCACGCTCACCGAGTCCCTGACCACACACCCATGCACATCCGCCGCATCCTCCACCACCGTCGTCCTCCCCCTCCCCTCCTCGCTCCTCCCCTCCTCGCTCCTCCCCTCGTCCAACGTCCACCACTCGGCGTACCTCCACTCCTTACACGCGGCAAACAGCTTCATAACGGCGCTGACCGCGTGCATGAGCGGCTTCCGTCCATCGTCCGCGCAGTTCCTGACCCACCGTCTGGTGGCCTCCGGATTGACGACGGCGAGCTCGATGGCCAAATGGCGCGCGCGCTTCATCAGGTTGTGGATGACGTTGACCGAGTGCTCCAGCACCTGGGCCTTTGCCGTGAGCTCCGCGCCGTCCGGCGCGTCCGGCAGCACGCGGCGCAGCTGCTCGAACTGCTCGCCCAATCGGTCGCGCGCCGCGCGGACGTCGCGACGGCGGCGGTCGAGTAGGTGGTCGTCGTCCGCTCGTAGGTGGGTTTGCGAAGTCTCGTTCGCCGACGGCGTGCGCCCCACAGCGATGGGGCGCATCTCGTCCTTCACGGTGATGGCCCCCGCGGAGGGGAGGTGGGGCTCAGGCTTGGCTAACGGCGAGTGGGAGAGGCTTGGCGAACTAAAGTCATTTCCCTCGCCCGGCGTGGATTCGTCTATATCATCGTCTTCCTCGTCCTCGTCATCCCCGTCGTCCCCGTCGTCCCCGTCGTCCTCATCGTCCTGGTCCTCGTCGTCCTCGTCGTCCTCCTCAGAGTCTTCATCGTCATCTTCTAGATCAAAGTCCATTGCAGCGCCATGGCGGTCGGATTCCTCCAAAGCGTCGTCCAAATCAAAGCCCTCATCCAAACGAAGCACCTTCGCCGTAAGGGGCACGTGTAGTGAGGAGACGGCGACCTGGGCGGCGTCCTGAGCGTTTCCCCCCATGTTGGGACGTGTTCTCTTGCGCGGAGGCCTGCCTCATGCACGGGATGTGAGCGGTTGGGCGAAAGGCAACTTAGACGCTTGCGGGGGATGGCGAGCGTTCGAACGAGAGGCAGATGCGATTCCACGAGAGGCAGATGCGATTCCACGAGGGGGTCTGACTGGATGTTTTCTCAGCGGGGCGCCACCGTCCCAGTGGGCCACTCCTGAAACGCCCTTTTGGTGAATTCTCCATCAGGCGACCAATGGGGCGGTGCCGTTGGCGCGGGATTCGGTAGTCCGCCGGCAGCGGCCTATCAGGCGAAGCCAACGGCCAAATCGCAACACGCAAGGCGGCCAGCGGCCTATCAGGCGAGGCCAACGGCCAAATCGCAGCACGCAAGGAGGCCGCCAATCACACAGGGGGTGCGCCTGCAGCCACCCAAGCCTTAATGAGTTGCAGTGCGCCTGGCCGCTCCTGCTGCCGCAGCAGCACGCCCGAGCGCCAATGGCAGACTCGGCCGGTACCGGCGACCTGCGTCTACCGCGCCGCTTTGTACGCTACTACTGTACCCAAAGGTACAGTGCTGAAGCGTCCCGTACCTCACCTCCTTACTCTACTTCCCAAACCCGCCTCCCACGCCTTCCACACCGCTCCGCCGCTCCGCACCCGCCGCGCCCATCGCACCCTTCGCAACGCGCAATCGCATGTCCGCGCATGCGCCGCATACGCCGCGCCGCGCCCCTGCCAGTGCCGGTCACGCCACCAGCGCAGTGCGGCAGAGCCGCCCGCGCGTGTCGCACCCGCGCGCCGTGAACTGCAAACGAAAATTTCCCGAAATTCCACACCATCTCATCTCGTCCTCACGTGCGCGCATCTGCGTCCCGCTCATTGAGCTGCAAGCCGCATCCGCTTCACCTCCCCCGCGCCGAGCCCCACCACAAGGCAAGCTCCATCCCATCGCTTCACCTCCCACCCGCCCGCCCAGCGTCCGAGCCATGCGCCGCCGCAGTTCTTCCCGCCCGCCATGCGCCCCCGCTGGCTCTTCTTCTCGCTCTTCTGCGCGCTGGCGATGCCCGGCCGCTTCCTGCCGCTGTTCTACGCCGCGCACGCGCAGAGCGACGCGCAGGTCGGCGCGCTCATCGCTGTCGCCACGGCCGTCGCCGTCGTCGCCAACCCGCTGCTGTGTAACCTCGCGGACCGCACGCGCCGCCGCGAGAGCGTCGCCGCCGCGACGTACGCGCTCGCCGTCGCAACCTTCCTGATCCAGATCGTCGCGTGGCCGTCGCTGGACCTCGTCGCTCCGCGCAATACGTTTCGCGTCCTGCTCGCCCTCCGCGTGCTGTTCGGCTTCTGCAAGGCCGCCGCCTACCCCCTCGTCTGCGCCATCGCTATCGAGCAGCTCCGCGACGAGTTCGGAGAGGGAGGTCATCAGCGCTTTGGGAGGGAGAGGCTGTGGGGGGCCGTCAGCTGGGCTATCTGCGCCCTTGGATTGGGATGTGTACTGGATATCGAAGGTGTCGAGATGTGGGCCGTGCATGTGGGAGTGGCAGTGTTTGGCGGCGCTCATGTCGTCGCGCTGCTGGTGTTCGAGAGATGCAAGATGAGGAAGGAGGAGGTTCCCCACGATCGCCACATGCTGCTTGCACCAGAGATGGAGGAGACTCTGGTGCAAGAGGGGTTGCAAAGTGAGCATGATGACCCCGCGACGGAAGAGGAGTTGCAAAGTGAGAATGACCACGCGACGGAAGAAGGGTTGCAGAAAGAGGACAACGATACACCCATATCCATGGCGGCGCTACCTGCCATCAATCGCATCCTCACGGCGGGCGGCCTGCCGACCGTCTTGTACTTCAACATGTTCTTCTGGCTGTCGTTTGGCATGAGCCTTGTGGAAAATCTCCTCTTTCTCTTTTTTAAGTACGACCTGCACGCAACCAATTTTGTGTGCGGACTGAGTGTGGTCGTCACGGTGGTGTTCGAGATCCCTCTGTTCGCGATGGCACCTAAGCTGCTGCACCACGTCGGCGCGCCGGCGCTGGCGGTCATCGGCTGTCTGGCGTACGTGGTGCGCGGCTTTGGGTACACGATCGCGCCCAACGGGTGGGTCGTCCTGCTGTTCGAGCCGCTGCATGGCGTCACTTTTGCCGCCATCGAGACGGCCACCGTCGCATTTGTGGCCGAGCGCACGCCGAAGGAGCTCGCTGCAACGGGGCAGGCCGTCGCAGCGGGGCTCAGGACTATGGCGTACACGGTTGGCACCGGCGTGGGCGGATGGGTCATGCAGAGGTATGGGTCTAGGGTTGTGTATAGGATGGGAGGCTTGTTGGTGCTAATTGCTGTGGTCGCCTTTGTGCTGGCATATCGGCTTGGGGATGGGGCGACGAGAGTAGAGAAGGAGAGAGCAGAGGAGGAGGAGGTCAGTTTGGGAAAAGTCGATGTCCCTTGAAGCTTGAAGGGCAGGCGGTTGTACTGTAGTAAAGAGGCACGCATTTATATTTGCAGTTAATCGTGATATACCCCTCCCAAAAGGGATTTTTGGGACAAAGGGCAATTTGGGACGCCAAAATCGATGCAAATCTACACAGTTCCCCTTATGTGATCAATGTTTAATAGTGATATCCCTTCTACCTTGATCCAGACGTAATGCACCGACCGTTGATCCAATCCCGAACAGATCTTGCGCTTGGCTTCCCGCCAAACTCATGAAAATACGAAAAAGCATGCAAACAAACAATAACACGGCCTGTTCGAACACTGTGCTCCTTTTGCATACTATTTCAACCTCATGCACGCGTAAAATGGGATGAATGGTTCTCACATCTCGCTCTCAACACTACGGCACCTTCAATGCGAAAGCAAACGTCAAACCTAAAGAACAGAGCAGAGCGGCAACAGGCAGAAACAGAAAAAAGACGGTTAGCGGTTGGACTTCTCCGACAGAACAGAAAAATTCGTCAAGTTACTCAAAATGACTTCTGTTTCGAAGTCTACCGTTGGCCGCCTCGCCAAGCTTATACGAGAGCGCGACCACGAGCAGCTTCACGCTTACATAGACACCACTATTACAGTACCAGGAAGGAAATCGGTTCTATCTGCAGTCGAAGAGCAGATGCTATCGGACCAAATCGTCTGTGCGGCGTCGCGAGGGTTCGCAATCAATGATGATATGCTCAAGACTTTGATGGCCAAGATTGCCAGCGATGGACGCCCGGGATGGAAAAATGGTATCCCTGGCCCGGATGCAATACGTTCTTTTCGGGCTAGGCATCGTGAACTGGCATACCGCAACCAAGAAGACAAGGACAACGCAAGATTGAAAGGGGAAAACTACTATCATGTTGACACCTTTTTTCAGGTGCTACGTCGTCTCGAAGTATCAAACCCGGGATTAATGCAGGACCCAGACCGTGTATGGAATATGGACGAAACATCCATTGATGCAGAGCATGGAAAAAGAGAAAAAGTATACGGGTCCTCCTCCACGCATCATGGAAGGTTTCGCAACTCTGGCAATTCGAAGGGCTCAGGGAGACATGTGACGGCGGTCATAGTGGTGTCTGCAAGCGGTCTCAAAGCTCCACCGTTCTTTGTCATCAGTGGGAAGCGCAAATACGCTGACTGGTTTGAGCCGCTGCCTCGAGATGTATACTGCGACAAAGATGGACTACCACACAAGCTTTGTGAAAATCAATGGTTTCCTGACAACGGCGTTCACAAACTCACCGAAAACGGAAGCATGGAGATGGATATACTTGCAGCGTTTATTGACCATTTCAACAGTTTTGTGAGGAAATTTGTACACCCATCTCAAAAGATTCTCCTAACGCTCGATGGGCATAGCTCTAGAAATGGCGTCGAGTGGCTGCGACGGTGCGTGAGCCACAATATTGACGTGGTGCAAGCTCCAGCGAATACATCGCATGTTTTGCAGCCGTGCGACAAATTTGTCAACAAAAAGTTCAAACATTCGATCCGAGAGACGAAGTCCGAGCTTGACAAAATGGCCCTCACTAATACAAAAACAGTTAAGCTCAAACTAATGCTGGGGGTTGTCGCACACGATGCCATAACCGGTGAGGACGCGAAGCGTTCGTTTCGGGAATGTGGTTTATTTCCTCTAAATCCAAGCGTAGCCAAGCAGTTTAAAACGGATAGCGACACAAGACGTGAGCAAGGCATGCAGTACCGAGAAAGAGTTAACAAAAGTGGTGTGGCATCCCGTTTAACTTCTGTCATGCTCCGCCAGAGCGATAATCACACTGTCGAAGAGGTACGTCACATTGTGAACACAGTTGCCCAACCACAGCAATTGCTGGCAGATCTTTCGAGCACATTGCAGCAGCGAACTACAACATCTTCAATCTTGCGCAGCATAATTCCCGACCCCCTCTCTAGAAGCGCAGCGTTCCCAAATGTTCCATTGCGTAAGCGAGTCATGCTGGACTGCGGCGCCCCCGCGCAGTACCTCACGCACAAAAACACTCTTGCATTGCGTGAGAAGAGGGCCGCAGACTTAGCACAAGCCTTCGAAGAGGCAAAGATAAAAAGGGAAGGCGCATGGAGGAGGCGTCACGAAAGGAATGAAGCGCGAGAGGAGGCCAAGCGGCAGCGCGAAGTTGACCGGCAAGCTAGGGTGCTGCGTCTTGCTAAGGAGCGTAGAGAGAAAGATGAAAGGCGTCAGCGGAAGCTCTTGGAGCGCGATAGACGTAGGGAGGAAACGCGTGAAAGGAAGCAACGTACAGCAGGTTTGAACGCAAATGCCCGAGCTCAACGGGTCGGGAAAGCAGACGTTGGGACGACGAGGAAACGCAAAGGGGTTACGCCGGTGCTGCGGGCCTATCCTGCAGAAACTGCGGTATGTGAAATCATCAGTTGTGTTCTTACGATGGCTGTGAGTCGCTGCAATGGCTGGGAGAAGAGTGTCCCAAGTTAACCGTTTTTGACCTGTCGTGAGCTGCGGTTCCTCGATAACAAAAGTCGGAATTGCGTTCAATCAAGATAATAAAATCTCCCTTTTTTGAGTGTTCCTTCTGCCGAGGTCCGCTGCCAATGGTTTAACGACGTGTGGCTGGCAGTCAGGGCACTTTGGCGAGCGGCAGTTTTGCATTACTCAATACGTGTCCCAGATTGCCCTTGTGGGAGGGGTAGTCGCATTCCCGACCTGCAGCAGATGACCAACCTCGATTTTCTGTGCAATCGTAAGAGCAACTCCACCAACACAGTAGCAAACGAGCAAAATACCAAATTTGATCAAATTTGATAAATTGCTCATTTGTATACTAGGCCTTTCTATCAATTTGCACTTGGCTGCAAAAAGCCGTACTCAATACAGTAAGGGATGTCATGTAACAGATTGAGAGCTCAAATTCCAGAAATTATCTGAATCACGATAACCAACAAATGGCACTCATAGATGTGTTACACGTACCGAAAGCATAGGAATCACCGCAACTAGTGTCTAGGTGACAAATGGCCTCATATGAGGCCAGTTTTTAGGCGGGCTTTTGCAATTCGAATAATTGTAGAAAATTATCGCTACTGTAGTGAAAAGCTCACGACTAGAGTACTAAACGTTGGCAAACCAGAAAACATTCAATTCCGTATCTCAGTCTTCCCTAATCAACACTTTCGTCTTCCTCTTCCCTAAATTTCTTCAAAATGGTGAGCGTTAATGATCCTCGAATTATTGCAGGTAACCGCGTCCACACTCGTGCAAGACTGCTCACAGCTCAGAGTAAATGTCGCCTTATGTATGGAGCCGAGCCACCTGGAAGATCAAGCTGGTCACGGGAACTGTCATTGGCATGAAAACTGACAAAGTGAAGGGTCGCAGTGTCACTTCAGTCAGGGCTAAATGGGAATTATCAGATGGCGTCAAGGAAGTCACGCTTCGCATAGCTAACATCAAGGCTGGTGAAGTGATGGACCTGATCGATGACGGTCCTGAAGATCATATCCATCAAGAAACTGACCATTATGTGCGACTGGAGCCTACAGAGGACCGCGTGACGCCACTGGAAGGAGCACTCAGCCCGAGTACGAGGATCTCCAAGAGTGACGAAATGGATTCCCAAGATGGCCTCATGAATGTCCACGGCCGGGCCTGGAAGCGTGAGGAAGTCACGATGCATTTAAATGGTATGATACCGCCGAGAAGATGGAAGGTGATTGGACCGATTGATGAGATTATATCCCGTGGTCACAGTCCATCTCAAATGCATCCCATGGACTACTTCATGTGGATGTTCCCACAGGAGCACTTGGCATTAATGGTTTCCTACACCAACGATGCAATGGAATCAAGGGGACTTCGCTTGACTACAAGAGGTGAAATTTTGAAGTTTTTCGGGGTGCTAATCCTTATGACTCGGATTGAATTCAGCACGAGAAGGTCTCTTTGGAGCTCACAGGAAACCAGCAAATATCTCCTGCAACCTCAATTCGGAAACATCATCTCCGCAGAAGATTCGAGGAGCTTCGTCAGAATGTCACGTTCAGCTTTCCAGCTGACTCAAATGACAGATGGGGTATGATCGGGGACTTCATGGTCGCAATCAATGATCACAGAGCATCACATGTGATTCCATCACAGAACATCTGCGTTGATGAGAGTATGTCACGCTGGTATGGACTTGGAGGAGATTAGATTGAAACCGGTCTTCCTCATTATGTGGCCATGGACCGAAAACCCGAGAATGGCTGTGAGTTGAAGACTGCTGCATGTGGAAAAAGTGGAAATATAATAAGAATTGAGAACGTCGTCTCAGCTGAGGAGACTTCTTTAAAGGATTTTGAAAGTGACCACTTACACGGAACCGCAGTGACTTTGAGGTTGTTACAGCCATGGTTTCACACCAATCGTGTTGTCTGCGCGGATTCGTACTTTGCTTCTGTCCACACGGCTGAATCACTTTATGAGAAAGGTCTTAGATTCACAGGTGTGGTGAAGACATCTACCAAGAAATATCCGATGAAATATCTATCTCATCTGGAGATTGCTGAAAAAGGAGAGCACGTCACACTAGTTTCGAAGCCGGTGGCCGGGCCTCATCTTATGGCAGTTATGTGGGTGGACCGAGACCGCAGATATTTTATTAGTTCTGTCGGAACATCCAACGAAGGAACTCCAATCTACCGCGAGAGATGGCGTACACGTCATGGCGTGACAAGAAAAGAGGAATTGTCTATCCGTATTCCCTCAGTCTGCGAGCAGTATTATGAAACTTGCTCTCAGACTGACCACCACAACAGATCTCGTCAGGATGATCTCGGCTTGGAAAAGAAGTTCGAAGTCAAGGAGTGGTCTATGCGTGTCAACACTTCTTTATTGGCCATTTGCATTTTGGATGCATGGAAACTGTATGCAGGTGCAAAAGGAGATGGTTCTAAGATGTCTCCAAATCAGTTTTATTGTGAGCTTGCTGACCAGTTGATTGATAACAAGTATGATCGTATATCGTTACGTCAGCGAGAATCAGACAGTGCTGTTG